GGTCCCATGCAAGAGTGAGGTAATCGATCTTGGATCGTTTGTAAATCGGGAATTTTCCGTACTCACGTAAGCCTCATTCTCAAAACGAGAGTGAACGCTAGATAATGGGTATCTCTAGAAAAGATTTCTTTGGTCATGTTGTTTTAATAAAATACGTCATTTAGATAACAATTAAATATGAAAATCACCTTTCGGAGGAAATCAACGATTTTCCATTTAACTTGCGTGTCAATAACCTCGAAGGCTGAAATTTGACAAAAACAGAGAAAAACTTCAGCCGGTGTTAATGAGTTAGCAGATTGTATCCGTCCAGTCGAAAGGTGAGTGTGTTGCAAGGTTAAACTTGTTTGGGGCTCCCATATTGGAGATGATTTAACTTTGTTGTGATGTCAGTAAAAACGCTTTTTTAAAAAAAAATATATATATACACATGGACACATGGCAAAGTGTGGGTGGTTTAGACGCGAAGGAGCTTTAAAATTAGTCAAGGGCTTCTCGTTGCTGGTGGGCAGTTATCTTGACTTTAAAAAAGAAATATGTCACCGATTATAACTGATATTGATGTAATTACCTTCTGTCTAATCTTGTCCCTAGCGTGGGATGTTCAGGATCCTCAAATGATCTGTCTAAAGATTCTAACCTCGCACCGTTTATTTCTGATCTGAATTAAGAAGTGAAATGATAAAGGTCTTACATTTTTCTTATGTCTTCACCTTTCATAGCTTTGATAATATCCACAAGGTGTCCATTATCATAATGAGTTTCTAGATGCCTAAAGCGGCCAGTTGTGCAAACACGCTGTGATTATTAATAGGGAATAAAATTTAAGAAAGTTAACGATCCAAGAGTAGGTTTTTAGGTCCAACTAAAGGCTAATGTTAAAAATTACATCAGCTTTTCCAAAGCTTTTATCAGCAGTGGATGATAGACCTATAGAACATATCTTGCAAAAAAAATATAAGAGATCCTCGCAACTATGAACACTACTGAAGGAGAAGATCAAAGCTGCGAGGATCTCTTATATTCGTTTCTTCACCGCAGTGCACACATATGATTTTCATATATCCACAATTATTATATCTTGCGAAGTTAGTGCTCTAAAGTGATATGGAATATTGTTCCTCCCCTCCCCTCCCTTCCCATAAAGAGGATGTCAGTCGATTGCAGGTTTACCGCTAACTTTTCGCAGGTTACCCTCACATCACACTGGTACCCAATTAAACTCCGAGGCGGAGTGAGGCATGGTGCGAGTAAATTGTCTAAGATAAAAAAACACTGTGACTTGAACAAGGCTCAAACCCAGACCTCTCAGGCCACGGTCAAGCGCACTCATCACCAAGCCATTGAATCGCCTCAATTAAGCGCACCCATGTACTGTATCTCACAAGAGGATACAAGCATACACAATCCAAAGAAGACAAACACTAATTCTTACCAACAAATACAGCAATCAAATCTCACCTCAGTTCTTGTAAAGAGAGCAAACTGTCATTATCGTCTTCAGAATCTGACAGTTCTACAAACTGTTTGGAAGTGTAAGTCTAAAGAAAAAGAGTAGCAGGGAATGATAATCTACTTATCCTCAAATTAAATATCAAGTCTTGCACTACTTGGAGGTATGGTGTTTCCCTCTCTTTCCTCAATAAGGAATCAACATCAGCTACGAAAGTTTGAAGAATTCAAGTTCACTTAATTGTTGTCTACGAGCAAGCCCACATTATTAGCGCTAATCAGTGCCGGCATTTCTTTGCCCGCGTCTTTTTTTTTTTTGGCTTTTTTGAGGAAATTTTGTTATTTTACCTCATTTTGAAAACTTACCAACCCTTCCATATTAATTTCCTTTACTGTAAAATAATTTTTTCCATCAATTCGCTGTAATTTTAATCATATTATTTTTTATCTCAGCTCTCTTTCAGGAATGGTGGCGTGAGCGACGTTGGCAGGGGGGAGAGGGGGTGGCTAATGCGGTGTTTTGGAGCATCGACGACAATTATCAATGATTAGTGCTTACTTACAGGAACCGGAGAACGCCTTCTAATCGAGCGATCTACCCGATCATGGATCTCTGGACTAGTTGATGACAAATACGAGCCGTAACCATCAGGTTCCCGTGGAAATATTCTCCTACTCCTGGGGATGGGCTCACTGTAAGCCCTTGAAACATCCAGAGGATCGTCAACTAGTGCAGGTGCACGAGGCCTTGGTGGTTCTGAAGCAAAAGATGTGTATGCCGGCGTGGATGTGGTCCGCTTGTGTGGAACGCGACCAAACCGATATTTCAAAAAGTCTTTGCCATAGACTTTCAGGTACGCTTGGCAGACAATGCATTCTTTGTGTGGAACTCTACAATCTGGACACGGAGCTATATGTGTTAAGTACAAAAAAGAGCCATAATCAGTCAGCTTTTTTTAAAATAAAAATTGACAATTAAAAGGAAAAAATACATTGTTTACCTTTTCAAGGCGTTTAAGCCCAGTTAGTTGAAGAAAAAAGGCAATTTTGTCAATTTTTTTTTTCACTATAGTTGTCCCGCTTTATAAAGCAACCAAGTAGGTACTCTGAAAGTAACTAAATTTTTTAGCCTGCAGATCGGGCATAATTTTTTTGCGTTTTGAGGCGAATGAAGGCTATCACGAATTACGCACTAGAAGAAGAGCGCGAAAGAAAATTTTTCACCCTCATACGCACAAAAAATTACGCCTGTTCTGCGGGCTACTTCATTTTAGCAGATGTGTTCTGATTTTTCCTCGCTTGCTCGGATATAAAAAAAAAACTAGAATTGGTCCGTAACTTACAGTAGCGTACAGACTTGAACCATGGTTAGTAACATGTACGAGGTTCAACTTTTTCCATCCAATAACACTTTGCAGTTTCACCTAGAACAGTCATCGTGATCTTCTTACCCGGGCCCCCCTCCAAAGGAATTATTTTAGTCTTCCGTCTCGACTGTCCGGGAGTCACAAACTTGCGACGAGATATGATTTTCTCATCAGCCTTGCCAGCCTTGAATGGAGGTCTGAGGGAAGGTGTGGCTGACTTTGGTCTGTGAGTTGGAGACAGTGACCTTGATCTTAAGGTTACTCTCCCATGATTTTCAGGGCGCCTTGGACATTCACAGATACAGTGGTACTCTCTGGCATGTATACTATGGTTATGGTGGGTTGGAGCTGGTGTTAAAATGAGTTCTTCATCTGTTTCTGAGCTGCTTTCAGCCTGTTGAATGCATTAAATCAAATGCTTTTAGTTCGTTCACCCTTACACCCTGACATCAGCATTATACATAATCCCCTTACTGTTCTCTGTATGTTTCCTAAGGGGTTGACGAGGAGAATTTGATTAACAATCAAGAGCTTTGTTATTTGTTGATTATTTCCTTTGTTCTCCTGACCTCGATGTTTGGTTAAGGGGTGATATTGTAAGGAGAAATTAGATGCTAGACACTTATACGGGTCAAAAGGTTAAGAGTGTGTAGGATTTTGCATGGTGGGAATCAGGAAATAGAATCTAGGAAGCCTCCTAACAAAAGTTAAGGTTAAAACAATCTCATCTTCTGTAGCTGAGCTGCCTGCAATTTGTTACATGCAAATGTCATTGAAAAGTCTCTCATGATAATTCAAATTTTTTTAAGATGCATTGGATTTTTGACTAATTCTTGGTGGGAGTTGGAAAATATAATTTAAAAGAACCAAGATCTGGATGTCCAGTGACAAAAATCAAGATGCCATACCAAACCAACAAGTCAGAAATAGGTTAATTAAAGAGTTAAGAGGTCTTCAACATTCCTGAAATAATTTTGTGGAATAATGTCTTCTGACTATTGGAAGAGATGCATGATAATACTTTAAACAAGGTATTCCTCAGGTATGTTTGGTTTGATTTGAATGTAATGTACAAGACCTAGGAATCTCACTCTCTAAGGCAAGGGATCACAAAGATTTGACTATGAGTGTGATAAGGACTGTGACAGTCACAAAAACAGGATTGAGGGAATTTTTTTTGTAAGGATGACAAGATTGAGATACCCAACAGGAGAACCTGGAGATGGGTAGTGTTGCCATTTGATCAATTACCTGAGAATCAGAAGCTGATTCATCATCATCATCATCACCAACACTGACACTGGTAAGTTCCCTGTATGTTCCAGGAACATTTGTCTCTTGAATTGTAGAGTTTGAAGAAAACTCTAACTTAGGATCGATACCCTAAAAAATCAAATAAAAAAAACCAACTGGTTTATATACTTACATTTTAACATTTACTTAGAAACTGTTGTTGGTTTGAGGGAATTGAATACTGGATAAGCATATCCTGATGAAAGTTTTCAATTATCGGGTATTAAGAGTGTGATTAAAATATAGTCAGTCATTGTTTACTCCGATGTCATAAACAGCCAGGAAGTTTCATGTCTAAAATAATCCCCCAGCATGATGTTTAAATAAAAGAATATCAACCTCCACAACACAACTTCAACTCAGTACATTATATTTAGCACAATTGATAACTTCAAGATGGTGGCCAGACAAAACAAGGAAGTTGCAGTCTCCTAATGATTAACATTTCACTTAGAAACTGTTGTTGGTTTAAATTTAGTTTACGGGAAATTCTGACTTAAGATCAGTACCCTGCAAATTCCAAATAACAAATTCATATCGAGATGGACCCAATGTAACAGTGTATGTCAGAAATGTTGGTCAAAATTTGAAATCAGTTTGTTCATTGATGTTATAATCTTTGTGCATAACTTGTGTAGCATTCTGGTGTAACACTGCAGTTAACTTACTGTAAAGTGTACAGTTCTTCCCAGTAACAGCTCCCTTTCCACACCATCTTTGCCTGTCAGGGTTGGTGTAGGATACAGAAATTCCCTAGCTGATTGCTCATAGCGAGCCAGAACTTTACCTCCTTTAACAACAACAAAATAACTAAAACTTAATCTTTGAAGTTTTAATCAGAATGAGATAATAAGATAATCTTCCCCTTCTTTCTCAATTGCTGTGCACCAAGCATCGATTATTACGCCTCAGTTTTAGTTATTTGTTTCTTTTACATATTCAATAAAAGAACCCAGATTGTTTTGAACATAGAATGACTTATTTCCTCTCACAGCATAAGGGCTTCAGGCAATTTGTAAGATTTTGCTTAATTAGTTCTGACTGAGCCACCAAAATATTCTCCTTCATAACCCTTTAACTCCCTGATCAAATTTGTAATTCTCCTTACTGCCAACCATACAATTCTTAAAATGTTCATTCAGAGAATTTAGTATTTTCTCTATTCTCATCACTTGTCTGGTTGATATTGTATCGACATTGTGAGGAGATATTCTGACTTGGTAACTCATGAGAATGAAAGGGTTAAAGAATTTGGCCATAGTGATGACTTTTGGCTCAAATTATTACCTCACTTTATCAAAATTCATTCAGCTTATTTATTAACTCCATTTATTCCAGTTGTTGGAAGGGTGGCTGACACTAACTTCAGAGTGAATATTATTCAGCAGATAAGGGTAAACAAAAAATGCCAGGCTACATGAATAAACACAGTGTGCCCTCAAGATAGTTTATAGTAGCAGGTGGATGAACAATTATTTCCAAGTCTTTCAACAAGCAGCAAATGTATCTGAGACCTTTAAAATTAACATAAAATTATAATCCTGTTTCGGTTTTAATTTAAGTTCTGTTACTCACCTTTATACACATCAGAGTACTGGACGAGTTCAAACAACACATGTTCATCTAAAAAATAATAAATCAGCAAAATATGAATAAGAAACCTGTACTTCCTTCAAGATAATTTTCCTAGTGCAACTTTGAACGAAATATCTGTGTTTACCTTCCAAAATTCCCATCACATGAGTTGGTTCCCTTGCATTTACGAAAGTCTAAAAAAATAACGAAACTCAATCATAAATCTGAAGAACCAAGAACGCTTGTGGAAGAGCCAATAAGTTAATTAGGGAAGCGTTGACAATGTTCAGAGAGATGATTAATTATTTATCCAGAGACATCTGTGGACTCGCGTCATATTAATCTTCGTGTACAGTCTGTTCTTTATCAAGTATAGTTTCTACAAATCTCCTACCCTCTTAAAGTACATTCTTTCATTCAGTGCGAGAGGGAACGTCGCAAACACCGACTTGGTCCTCTTCGTCTGTCCCAAAATACAAACCGACAGAAAAAGCATATTCCTGTCGTTCAAATGCCGTGTTCCTGGGCATGTTATCTGTAGAATAACAACAACAAAATCAAGTTGTCGCAGGGCAGGAGCATATCGCACTAATCTGCCATTTTGCGTGCCCTTGTACTTCATATTTTTCAAGATGTTTCAGTCAATGAAGGTCTTACCTGATAGATATCTAATGAAACAGTGCAAGTTAAAGCTTTTCGCGGCATGACGATGGGATTTTAGGTGCAAGAACGGAAAAGGGTCAAACTTTGCTACCAAGGACGCTACCAACTAGCTAGTTACCAGGCCTTGGTTCAATATTGATGAATAACTCCGCTGACCAAATTGGACCGAGCCACAGAGTCTTGGCCCCAGTCTCCACTTAGTTGAGCGAACTACTTATTATTTTCAAATAATTATGTCGCTCATAATATAGTATACATAAAAACAAAATTAAAATCCAACGGTTTGAGCAACAACAACAGAAAGCAACAAAGTGAAAATTTGCATAGAAGCTCTTTGAAATTGGCCATAAAAAAATAGAGAAATTCAGGCTGCTCTGCTCATATATAAAGACTGCCTCCTAGAATCTTATTTCTGCTGTTTCCTTAAATTGTAGCACTTCTTATTGAATACACTACCTTCAGTTTTGAATTAATATGATTCA